ATTGGTAATTATCTTGGGCTGAGAATATACAAAATGCTGACATTACCCCCAGAGATGTAGGGAAGCTTTATGGCTTTGAAGTCTGTGAGGCATTTAAAAAATGCTTTCTAAATATGATTTGATACTCTTGATTAAACATTGTAGAATTAAGGACAACTAACTCCCACCTCTACAGTCTATGCTCAGTAGAATAACATTATTCTGGAGTTTTATTATTTGTGTCTTTCTTTTGGGAGTCTTCCTTTATAGAGAGTCTAGGATTCACCAACAATTCCCTACCCCTTAGAAAGGTAAATGTTTTATTTGGAAACCTTTGTGGGATTTGGGCTTTCACAGACGGAGATCAAAGATAGGCTCCATTGCTGACCAATAATGTCAACAAATCCTCCCTTGTCCCTTTGGGTTTTCTACTCTAAATGGAAAAGAATCTCTTTGTGGCACAAATATTGATATTTTACCATATTTGCTTTATCATTTATACTCTGATTATTTAGTTAACATAGTGTCTGCAAGGTTCATCTGCGGTAAATTTACTATTTTTCTCTTCGTAATTAATATCTTGTGAGATACACTTTGTGACTATGTAAAAATTCTGTTTCTTACAGACGGCAAAATATTTCATTACGAGGCCTCAAATTCACGACTGGGGACCTCACTAGATTCCCTAAATACAGAATTATTTAAGCCATGTCATGCCAAACAGTCTATTCCCAAAGTACACCACATTTCATTTGTTACCGCTTTAATGTTGGCATCAATAATACGACCCAATGCTGCCATGTTTAAAGAGCTCAAGTTTCAGAATCATACAGATTGGATTAAAAATGCAGCATGGCTATTTACTACCTATAAGATTTGAAAGATAAGCTACTTAATGTCTTTGAGCCTCATTTTTTTCTTCAGAAAAACGAGATTATCAGTCTCAGAGGGTTATTGTGAGGGTTTAGTGAGCTCATGTAACATGAAAAGTACCCAGAACTATATTCAGCATACTGCAGGCACCAACAAATGGTAGCTACTAATAAATAGTGAGGATATTATTTTGGTTAGTTTTGAACCCTGATGAATTCCTTTTTTGGATGGAGACATTCTGCCATATTATATATCTATACCGTTGATCCAGCTTTAGGGCAGAGCTGATTTGAAAACAGAAAAGCATATTCTCCCCTGTAAATTCTCCCCAGTAAATTTAATTGTGGGGTCTATGACCAACAGTTCATACCAACTCTTTACTTCAATGTGTACTGTCCACTTAAAAGTTAGTAAGATGATTCCAGAGCCCTTCATTCTGACAATACTGGAGTGCCACCATGAGGTCACCTTTGGTTCTGGAGATATTTACTTGAAATTGGACCCGATTATAAGAATATTTGAGTAGTTATATTTACATTGCATTATACTTACATTAAAGCCTGAACTCTTGATGGCCAAAAAAAAAAAAAGTATAAGGATGTGTCTTTTTAAAATTTTATTTTTCAATCACAGTCTATATTCAATATTATTTTGTATTAGTTTCAGGTTTACAGCATAGTGGTTAGACAATCATATACTTTGAGGGAATGGAATGATCACTCTGTTCATAGCAACAAGATATTCCAACTAGCTCCCACTGCAGGGTTAGACAGACGTTGTGTTCTCACTTGCTACAGTTGAGAAACCATGTGTGTCTACCAGTCAGACCATACTGGTTTTTGGAGAAATTCCAGTTATGCAAACCCATGATTCAATTCCTTGTCACTCTTATTGACGATGTTTTTTAATTGTTTTGTTTTGTTCTGAAGAGGAAATGATCCCTTAATGAGTCAGCTGGACATTGTCAAGGTAAGAAATGATATAAGTCTGACAGTTTCAATTTGACTTCATTCATTAAGCCAAAATTTATTATAAAGTACCAAGCAAAAGACATAGGTCCTTTCCTAAACCCACAAGGTTGGCAGTTTCAGGGATCTTTGTTTATTTCATTTCATTTCATTTCATTAATTCAACAAGACTTAATGACTGCTTACTATGAAACAGACTCAGTGCTAGGCAAACATAATATGAAGATAAATGAGATATAGGTCCATCCCTCAAAGTGCTACAAGTCCAGTATAAAACAGATGCAGAAGAATAATTACAATGCAATAGGAAAAGTGCTAAAATAGAGTTATTTACAAAGTGGCAGGAGAAATCACAGAAAAAAAGATGGACTATGTCAAGGAAGAGACTTTTAGGGTAAGCTTTGCAGAGGAGAGGACACATAAGGATTTTGCTAGGGAGGAAAGTGAGAGAGAACATTCTAAGAAGAAAGAAAAATATGTGCAAAGGTCCAACTTAGAAGAAGCAAAGCTGAAATGAGATGATAAAATTAAAGCTTAGAGAAGATAAGTAATTTACCCAAGATCACATATCTGGCAAGTGAATGGACCGAAGGGAGTTTAACCCAAGCTGAGGTTATTTATGGGAGTGTGTCATATTTCTTGAGAGTGTTGACAATCACTGCTCAGGGCCTGGCATACAAGTACCAGGAGCTTGAACTACATTTAGTAGACAATGGAGAATCATGAGAGGTTTTTAAGCAGAAATGCAATATAGTCTCATTTGGGCTTTAGAAAGATAATTCTAGCAGTGACTTTTAATTCTGACTGCAATTAGAATCACTTAAGACACTTCCAAAAATTAGAGACCAAGTTGCTTCTCCAGAACACAAACCAGAATTTCTGAGGGTGAGACCCAGTTTTCTTTCGTTTTATCTCTTTTTTTAAGTTCCTCAGGGGATTCTAATGTGCAGTTAGGGTCAAGAACCACTGCTGTGAACTGAAGGATAGAAAAGAACTAATATTTATTAAGCACTTACTATACTTATGATTTTGTTCCAAATGCTTTATACAATAACTATAATCTACATATATATATATATTTGGATGATAGGTAGGTAGTACCCTGATGCATTTCAACAATTTCGAGCCATGTGTGGAGAGCAATTATATTACTCCTAGCCTTCAAGGTAGATATTAAAATCCTATAATCCCTATTTTACCAATGAGGAAGTTGAGGCACAGACCAGTGAAATAAACCATCCAAGAAGATCACATTATTAAATGAAAGCAATTGGATTCACACATAAATCTTTCTGATACTCAAAGCCATGCTCTTTCCACTATACACCATTGCCTGTGAACCTAGCTTAATCCTCAGAACAATCATGAAGCAGACATCATTGATACCATTGTAATTTAGTTATTAATAACAGGAAAGGAACAGAGAAGTCCAGGTATTATAGGCATGCCATTTGGACAGCTTTACTAGAAAGTTACAACTTTATACTCTCCAGGGGTCCAGCAAAGGCAAGATAGACGCATGTTCAGTAAAGTTGGGGTGACATAGGAAAGATGCTTGCTGTCAGTCACACCTGAGAACAAAGGTCATTGGCTAGAATGGGCATGGCCACTTCAAGGGCATGAAGTTTGGGATATTTAATCCTCTGAACAAAGGAATTCACTCTCTTATGCTCTTACTGCTCTTGGGACTCTTGGGACTTGTGTGACTCTGAGTTTGCGGGGCTCCCTTGCATTTGCCCACACAGCCCACAGCCATGCAGACCTCACTGATACCATTGTAATTAACTAGTTATTTATAGTAGACTAATGGACTGTAATTAGCCTGATGCTGTACTAGACCCAGCTCCAACATGGAAAGGAAACTCTGGACACTAGCTTTGCTTTTAGCTTTACTGAAACCCCACTCAGCTTCTTCTATGACTGGACAAAGGGAAATAGGACTTTGGAAACCTGCTGCTGATGGTGGTGTTCTTACGATATCTCACGAAAAAGAATTTTTTGAGACTTGCACGGGAGAATGAGTGATCTTTATTTGTGTGGAGTTAAATTCCTGGGAGTGATCTTTGATTCCTCCCTTTACCTCATCTCCACATGAAATGCATTAAGTGCATTTAGCCTACCTCCAAAATATATATCCAATCTATCCATTTATCTCCATCAGCACAGATACCACCTCAGTCCAAACCACCATCACAATTTCTACTTTGACCGGCCTCCTTGTTTTCTTCCTTACCTTTTCTATGGTCCACTCTCTAAACAGCCAGAGTAATCTTTCATAAGCATTTGCTCCTTCATTCATCAAATATTTATTGAGAGCACACAGGAAATGGGGATACAGCAGTGAAGCCTATTAGGTCCCTGTGCTCATGGTCTTTCATTCTAGAAAGGGGAGAAGCAATGCACAAGTAAATAATTTTGTACAGTACAAATGCAATGAAAAAATAAAGGAAAATTCAATAGGCTCAATCTCTTATTTACTGAGTTTTACTGATTTGCGCTCTCATTAAGCATTTTGAAAGTTTCCCAGCCTGTTTAGATTAAAATCAAAATTCCTTACTATAACCTTTATAAGATTGTATGAGATCTGGCTTCTCATTTGTCCCTCCGACCTTATCTGTACCGCTCTTCCTCACTGCAGCTGGTCCCCAGTCACCCTGGCCTTTCTGTCGTCAGCGTTCAGGCCTTTTGCCTCCTGCAGACCTGTTTCCTCCATCCCGAGTGCTTTTTCCTGGATCCGGGAAAGGCTGCCTCCTCTTTCTCCAATATCACTCCATCATTAGGAACCTGAATCATATCCCTAAACGTAGCTCCCCTTCCCTTTCTCTATCAGTTACACTGTTTTATTTGTTTCATTGGACTTTTCACTTTCGGACATTATCTTCCTTATTTGTTAACAGTGTCTTCTGTTCCCACTAAAACGCTGAGTTTCCTGAAGTGAGAATCTTGAAGTAGTTCACCAAAGTCTCCCTAAAAGCCTAGAACAGTGTTCTGCATACATAGTTCTCAGGAGAACAAATAAATAACGACGGACTACATGGTTTACAGCAACACGCAGACATCACGACCTACGAATCGCTCGCAGCGGCCAGGCCTCGCCCCCCAGAGCCACTTCCGCCCAGGGCCTCCCGGACACCTTCCGAGAGAAGTCCTCTGCGCAGGCGCCGTGGGGCCGCGAAGCTTTCTGGGTAAAGATGGATGTGCACGATCTCTTCCGCCGGCTCGGCGCCGGGGCCAAGTTCGATGTGAGACGCTTCTCGGCGGACGCCGCCCGATTCCAGGTACTGTGCTGGGTGGACAGAAGCCGGAGTAACAGAGGAGCAGGCGCCAGAGGATGAGCCGGCTGCCTGGAAGCCCGCCCTCCGAGGCCCCGTGGCCAGGCTGTGGGGCCCTTGCCCCTCTTCGGGCGCCCAGTTTCCCGCAGACCCACCTGGTCACGTCCCGCTTTCTGAATCAACATGTTTCTCATCATTTTGTAGATTGAGTTGGACGTGGCCGGAGAACGCTCCCCCACCCGCCCCATCATCTTAGTTTATTCTAAGCATAGATGGAATCCTCTCAGAGTAACCTTTTCTCTGAAACTGGTGGAAAGGAATTCTGAAAACAAACAACTCAAAGTGGAGAGAACAGATTCTTTCACCCCAGTGTACTGGGTTTGGCTGTAGCTTGAGTGGGCATGGTTCTTTTTAATCCCGCACTCCGGTGGCGTGTTAATTAACCAGTGAGAAGAGAGATTTAGAAATGGGAGGTCTTACATAGGGAAATAGCGAGTGATCTGTCTGGAGTAGTTGGGGGCTCGGTTGTGGAAAATCTTTAATGTCAACCTTGATATTGCGACTAGGGACATTTGTGTGAGTGCGTGCGACACGTGTGTTTCTTCTTTCTCTGACTGGCGGTATAGTGTAGTTGTTAAGGAGTTTGAACTATGGAGCCAGATTCTTTGGGTCCAAATCAAGTTACTTAACCTCCTAGTGCCTCGATAGTCTCATTTGTAAAGTTGCTATTTACCTCATAGGGTTGTTGAAGAATGTAGTAATTCAGTATATATAAGCATGCTTAGAAATCTGCCTGACAGCATGTAAGTGTTATGCTGATAAGCATATGTGTTTGTTGCTATTGATTATTATCATTATTATTACTGTTATAAACTCAGAAAAGGTATCATCTTGGATTTCATTTGCCCAAATACACTTGTCAGTAAATATTACAATAAATATTTGGGGAAAGCATAAAAACAATGGGGAGTCATTGGATCCATGCCCCTCGCTGCCAGTCCTGTTTGGATGAAAGCAATGCCAGTCCACAGATTTCACTTTAAATTTTTTGGGTTTCAGGTAGGAAAAAGGAAATATGACTTTGCTTCTTCGGAGGTGCTGCAGGGACTGGACTTTTTTGGAAACAAGAAGTCTGTCCCAGGTGAGTGTGGAGAATCGAGAACTAATCAGGAGCTCCAAGGTGAAGAGAAAAAAGAGGAGAGCCTAACTGAAAGGAAGAGGGAGCAGAACAAGAGAAAGAGGAAGAGGGTGACTTCAGGTTAGTCCTTGACTTCTGTCTTTACTCTCTACTTAATTTTTTTCAATTATGAAAATAATACAAGCTTATGGTTACAAGTCAGGCAGTATGTCAGTTGATGGCATTCAGGTTGTTTCCAGGTATTTATTACAAATATTGCTGCAATAAAGATTTAAATGTAACTTTTATTGTAAACTTATTTTCCATGTATAGTAGTCCCCTTTATCTGTGGCTTTATTTCTGCTGTTTCAGTTACCTGCAGTCAACCGCAGTTCCAATATAATACGTGGAAAATTCAGACATCCACTGGGGGCCTTGGAACATATCTCCTGTGAATAAGGGGGGATTGTTGTATATTTGGATCTATCACTGGGCACGCTTTTACTTCATTGACTTATATTTCTGTGTTCATACACCAATCCCAGCTTATTTTAATTACTGTGGCATTACAGCATCTTATAAAATTAGGTAGTGTGGCATACCATGTTTATTGATTAGGCAACTGAATATTTTCTCCCTAAAGTGATCTATAGAATCAGTGCAAACCCAATTAAAATTTTAGTAGTCTTTGTTGATAGAAATTGACAAAGAACATTATTTTAAGTTATCATGCACCTACCATATGACCTACCTATTCAACTCCTAGAATTTACCAATGAGAAAGGACAACCTTTGTTCTCACAAAGACTTTTATACAGGTTTTTATAGTGGCTTTATCTATAATAGCTGAAAACTAGAAATCATGAAAATAGGTGAAAGATGAATAAATTGTATATCCATATGATGAAATGCTACCTATAAATTAAAAGTTAAGGACTATTGATACATGCTCCAACATGGATCTCAAAATAACTACCCTAGGTGAAAGAAGCCAGACTAAACTTAGTACATACTACATGATTTCATTTATATAAAATTTCAGACAAAGCAAACTAGTCTGCAGTGACAGAAAACAGAGGTGGTTGCCTAACAATGGAGCAGTGCATTACAAGGGGCCACAGGAAATTTTGGGAGGTGATGGAAATAACCTTGAACGTGGATAGTTTAACAAGTGTGTACATATGTCAAAGCTCCTCAAATTGTGTATTTTAAATATATTGTATGTCTATTGTATCTCAGTGAAGTTGAAAAAATTTTAAAAATTCTAAAAGTAGTCCTTGCTCATTACTTTTCTTAGAATTTTTAGGTTATTTTACATATGTATTTTCCCATATAAACTTTAAAGTTAGCTAGTCCAGTTACCAAAACAGTCCTGTAATTACTTTTCAGTAAACTAATGTTATTTATAGATTTAGTGAGAATTGTAATCTTTATTAATATTGAGTAGTCCTTAAGTATTGTGTTGTGTTCATTGCTATTATAAGTGAAATCTTTTCTTTCATCATATTTATTTTCTAGTTGGTGGTTGTTTGGATATAGAAAAGCTGGCTGCCTCAATGAAACCTTTTAAGTAGTTTTTCAGTTAATCTCTTATTTGCAAGTACATAGTCATCTACATATTACACAGCTGAAATAACTAACAAAAAGAAGAGAATGAGCTTCAGAGCTCTGATTTTTCACCATATAGCCTGCCTCTCCTTTTCCAATTTTTATACTTTCTGTCACTTTATCTAGTTGCAACAGTTACTACTTTTGTTTAGTGTGAAGGGATGGCCTATTTACTACACCCTAGAATGTTGCACTTAAAATCTTTTAACTTTTAAAAATATATTTTAGAAATTACTTCAGAAGAAGAAGGTTCTACTATACAGTGGATATCATCTGTGGAGGCAAAGATTGAAGATAAAAAAGTTAAAAGAGAAAATAAACTAACTTCAGGAAAGTTGGAGCATATCAGAAAAGAAAAGGTTAGGAAAATGTCTTAACCCCAATTTCTGACCTAGTCACTTTTTCACTGTCTTTGGGTGATTCTGTTGGTAAAAGTGAGTATGGTTTTGTTAAGATAGAAGATTAATTAGTTTGAATTTTACATTAATGAAAACTTAAAGCACAGTGTATGTTTGTGTTGTGGCTGAAAATTTTTAAGTTTAAAATTTTGAAACTTGAACAGGTCAATATGTGTATAATTTTTGATATATTTATGTAGATATAGATATTATTCTTACAGTATATATTATATAATTCTTGACCTGGTCAAATTTCAAGATTAATAATGTGTGTAGAATTAAATTTTTTAAATTTCTTAATCTCTTTTGATAAACATAAAATTGGCCCCCTTTCTCCTCTATGATAAGCTCCATGGTTTAGGAGGATGTCCTCTGGTAGGGATGTGAGAGAATTCTTATAACTTGGGACTAAGGGAAGTAGAATACAGAAGAAACAGCAAATAAGCCATTGTCATGTCATGTCTGCTGCATACCTGCTGTGTTGCTGATGGAGAGTATTGTTCAGCTCACTTCAGTAACCCAGAATCCAGAATTTGGCTATCTTTGGACCAGAGAATGGGAAATTCACAAATCAAGTCAATACCATTTTTGACACGCAATTTTAATAAGTAGAGTCTTGGATAAACCATCAAAAAGCACCAGTGGCCAGCCAGCGTGGCTCAGTGGTTGAGTGTCGACCTGTTGACCTATGACCCAGAAGGTCACAGTTTGATTCCCAGTCTGGTCACATGCCCGGGTTGTGGGCTTGATCCCCAGCAGGGGGCATCCGATCAATGATTTTCTCATCATTGATGTTTCTATTTCTCTCTCCCTTCCTCTCTCTGAAATGAATTAAAAAAAATTTTTTTAAGGCTTATTTAAAAAAAAAAAAAAAGAAAGCACTGGTACTTATATGCTAAGTGCCATATAAAGAAAATAGATGGATTCAATGCCTACCTGCAGAAGTTTATATAAGATTATAAGTTATGACTGACAGTGGCACATTAATATGAATAACTGACACATTAATATGAAGAAAACATGGATAGATAGGTTTCATTGATGAAGGTCTTCTGCCTATGAATGGATATGAAATGTACCTAATATTTGTACGTTATCTTTAGGGGCTTGGAATTTAACCAGGAAGTTTCATATGCTACTAAAGCTTATCCTAGACTGTTGCTTTATAACCTCTGACAAGGATTTTTTTTACCCTGTCCATGGTGACCTTTTTACTTCACTTTTCAGATAAACTTCTTGCGGAATAAACACAAAATTCACGTCCAAGGAACTGATCTTCCTGACCCAATTGCTACGTTTCAGCAACTTGAACAGGAATATAAAATCAATTCTCGGCTGCTTCAGAACATTCTAGATTCAGGCTTCCAGATACCTACACCAATCCAAATGCAAGCCATTCCAGTTATGCTGCATGTGAGTGTGAAGGTGTAGAATGCTGCCTCCTATATTCTCCTTGTGTTCGCTCATTCTCTTTTCTTTGTCTTTGGAATCTTCTTTTCTACCTTATCTCCTCCCCCTGTTGAAATCCTTACTTTGCTTTTAAGGTTCATTTCCAGCGCTTTTGCCTTCATAACTTGTCCTGATCACTACAGCTAGATATGATCTTTTCTCTTTACCAATGCTCCCCTGCCACCCAAGTCTCCATGGTTTTTAGTGTCTTCTTTTTCTTGCAACATTTATCTTACACTTCACACTGCTGTGTATTTGCACTAATTATACTTTTTTCCTTTTACTAGAGTGTAAACAGTCTGAGGATAGGGACTATGTTCTGTTTATTCATCCATCATTTAGTTTATAATTCCCAGGAACTATTCCAGAAATACAGAATTTTTGTATTAACCCGACTGGTTTCCCCTAATACCTTTTATTATTGAAGTATACTTTATATACAATAAAATACATAGATTTTTAAGTGTACAGTTTGGTGAGTTTCGATGATGTAACCTTTGTAACTGTCACCCCAGTGAAGATGTATAACATTTTTATCACCCAGAAAATTCTCTTGTGCCCTTTCCATTCTCTCCTCACCCAACCCCTGCCCGGAGGTAACCATTGTTCTGATTTCTATCGCCATATATTAGATTTGCCTCTTCTAGAATGTCATATAAGTGGAATCATTCATTATTTATTCTTTCATTTCTAGTTTCTCTCTCTCTGCATACTTTTTTTGAGCTTCAACCATGTTTGCATATATCAGTAGTTTGTTACTGATAGTAGTCTGTTGTATAAATGTATCACAGTTTGGGCTGACCTAGATTTTTTTGGAAAATAAGCTTTTCTAAGGTTTCTTCCACCTATTTATTGATAGATGTATAGGTTAACCTAGATTTTTTGGAAATTAAGTTTTTCTAAGGTTTCTTTCCGTAGTGATGAGAACTGCTTTTATCCCTACATAACCAAGATGGCCTTCAGTTCTGGTAGTCATAGGATACCTTACTGGTCCTTTTCATTTTCTTTGGGAACTAAAATAAAAATACATTTGAATGATGTTGTTGACTCATAGTAACTTTGCTTTTAATTTTCATTTAAGATTATTTCTGTCATGGCTTTAGCTTAAAGCTTTAAAAAATCACAGTGACTTACTGAAGATCGTCACTTGTTAATTACTCTCTCACTCAGGTTATTGCCATTTTTTATTTCTTCCAGCCATTTTGTTACTTATTAGAACCTTCCCCAGGATTGAGCTGTACAGATATCAAGACAAAAAGTTGGTTTTGTAATTTTGCTTTGATAAAGAGCTTAGTGGGAAAGAACAATTGAAATAATGGAAATAATTGAAGTTGTGAATTATATTTGGATTTTAGTTATCCACATTCTTTATCCATTTCAAATGGATGTCAGTGGCACTGCTCAGAAACTCCATTGTGGTAGTGGCAGGGGTAGGTAATGTTAGAAAAGCAAATATGGAAGAAGTTAGAAGAGTGATGAGACCATGAATGATTGGATTTATCACGTATACTTTTATTTGTTATTTGTATGGCTGGTAGCGTTATTTGATCAGGCTCTGAAATTTTTACATACTTTTCCTTGTATTTAATATACTCTGTTTTTAGGGCCGAGAACTTCTGGCTTCTGCTCCTACTGGATCTGGAAAGACTTTGGCTTTTAGCATTCCCATTTTAATGCACCTGAAACAACCCACAAATAAAGGATTCAGAGCCCTGATTATATCACCAACACGAGAACTTGCCAGCCAGGTATAAGCTGTAGCTTCTGAAGAGGATGTGTTTGGTGTTTGTTTCTTATTTGGGGGTAAAAAAGGTCTCAAAAGAGTAAGGCCTGTGTCTTTTGTCATGGTCAAGTGTTCTGTACAGGGCACATTTCTGTGTCTCTTATTGCATATGGGCAAATCTTTTCTAATTTTCTCTTCGGTGAATGCTTTAAGATCCTTTAGTCACTCTAAAATTTATTTTTCTCACCTAGAAAAATGAAAACTCATCTAAGTTTTTGAGAAAGTAAAACTATACAATATCTGCTCCACCGCCCTATGTGCTCAATGTAAAGTACATGCCAAGTATGAAATAGTTTTATAATAGTACTGTATTCTAAAACCAATACATAACAGATTGGAAGAGTTTTTGTTTTAACCCTTGGAACTCGTTTACTAGACCTGAAAAAACTTCTGAATCTTACTAGGTATTGACATTCCAAACTGCTGAGATTCCAGGTTAATTTACACATTACAGGTTTAATTTCAGATATTTATGGAGTGGTAAAGGATTTATTTTGTTAATAATGTAAAAGAGACTATACATCTTATTCAAGTATTTTAGCAGGTAATGTTTTTAATCATTTTCTGTTTTAGATTCATCGAGAGTTGGTAAAAATATCTGAGGGAACGGGATTCAGGATACACATGATCCACAAAGCAGCAGTTGCAGCCAAGAAATTTGGACCAAAATCATCAAAGAAATTTGGTAAACGATTCATGCTTTAGATGTGGAGCATGAAGGGGATTTAGAAATTACAGATATCCTAATTGACACCTAAGAGTTCTTAAAATGTAGTCATGCACATAATGAGTTTGATTTTTAGAGAAGCTAAAAGAGATCTCCCCGCTCCCACCCAGTAGTTATATAAATATGTACTAGTGTTTTTCTCAACCAAAAGCAGTTTTGCCTTCCACCCTCCAGGGACATTTGGCAATATTGAGACATTTTAAGTTGTCACAACTAGGGAAGGGTGCTACTAATCTACAGTGGGCACAAAACCAGGGATGCTGTTAAACATCCTGTAGTGTACAAGACAGCCCCCTACAGCAAAAGAGTTGTTTGTGCCAAAATGTCAATGTGCTGAGGTTGAGAGACCCCTCATTTATATACTAAATGGCATGGAAATACTTTGTAGACAAGAATAGCTTACATCCCTGCTCTTCTATCAGCCAGAGAATCTGCTTTTACCTGTTTTTTATCTTGAGCTTCTGAGTAAAATCTAGTTTAAAAAGGATTTTCCTGCCCTGGCCAGTGCGGCTCGGTTGGAGCATTATCCTGTACATGGAAAGCTCATGGGTTCGATTCCCGGTCAGGGCACATAGCCAGGTTGTGGTTTCGATCCCTGGTTGGGATGTGTACAGGAGGCAAACAGTTGATGTTTTTCTTTCACATCGATGTTTCTTTCGCTCACTCTCCCTTCCTCTCTCTCTCTCAAATCAATAAAAACATATCCTTGGGTGAGGGTTTAAAAAAATAAAATAAACAAGGATTTTCCTTGAAATCAAAGTTTAAAAATCAAGCTGTTGGATTATAGTGTTCTTGCCTCTTAGAAGCTGAGAAGACAGATCAGATATAATAATACAGGGGATATACTAGTTTGTGCTATAATGGATAAAAAAATATGTAAGCCTACTGAGAGGGAAGAACTTTTGTGCTGTTGGTGTAGTGAGTATAATCACTCCCTCCTCTCCCCACTTCAGGTTATTAACTGCAATTCAGGAGGCTTAATCCTCTAGTTCAAGAGGGATGAAACTTGTCTTTGCAATTTGTACCATTTGTTTTTCCTGTAGATATTCTTGTGACTACTCCAAATCGACTAATCTATTTGTTAAAGCAAGATCCTCCAGGAATAGACTTAACAAGGTAGAGATGATATTTTAATGTCTTTCATGTGTATTTTTCTTTTACTTGATTATATTTTGTCCTCAGTTGCTTGTATTATTGCCCTTTGGAGCTTTCTACCTGCCAATTTTAGTGAGTAATGATACTGAGAATAATGGTTTTTGTTAAACTCAGGAAAATAAGTATCTGGTCCAGAAGGAAGTTACAGATTCTGATGAGCAGTTAGCACAGAATTTCCCTAGACTTTCAGCAATGACGATGGAGTTTATAAGGTTTATGTGAAGTTCTGTTGTTGCTAATGGAACTTCATGTCTTTGAGGCTAATGGTACATTATGTTTATCTTACTTTTACCTTTTCCCTGCTTAATTTTCTTGTACCTTTTTGTGATATGGTATCTGTGTCTGAGAAACAGCATTTATGGTTTGATTTCTTCATGTGTTCCCACAGTTTAGTGAAATGTCTTGGATCTTCCAGTTTAATATCCACAAATTGTTTTGTTATTTCTTAGTGTTGAATGGCTGGTAGTAGATGAATCAGATAAACTGTTTGAAGATGGCAAAACTGGGTTCAGAGACCAGCTGGCTTCTATTTTCCTGGCCTGCACATCCCACAAGGTCAGAAGAGCTATGTTCAGTGCAACTTTTGCATATGATGTTGAGCAGTGGTGCAAACTCAACCTGGACAGTGTCATTACTGTGTCCATTGGAGCAAGGTAATTGTTCTGCATTATCCCACTGTTTTTGTTGTCGTTTGTTTTTTCCATTTATTTAGAATTTTGGGGGGAGGGAAGCAAAAATTGGCTCTTGCAAACTATAAGGTATGTTTCTCTCTCAGGAATTCTGCAGTAGAGACTGTGGAACAAGAGCTTCTCTTTGTTGGATCTGAGACTGGAAAACTTCTAGCCGTGAGAGAACTTATTAAAAAGGTATATTTGGAAAACAGTCTTGGCTTTTAATAAAGTTCACTATTACTGGTGGGAGGCTGAGCACAATTCCTGCATCATATTTAATAATCCAGTCGTAAATTGTTAAGTACTTTGGGCCAGCTCTTGTCCCAAGGTGGAGGGGCTCAACCATTAGAATATAGTAAGCTTTCTATTCGCAGCTCAGGGTAGGCTAGGAAAAGACCTACCCGATGTCCTGAAAGCCCTTTTCCATGTCTGCATATGTACCTGCTCTCTGTGTCCTCCCCCCACCCCAATCCTGCTGCTGCTTTCTTATTAACTGGGGCATTGTAGAATGAGTAGGGCAATGACTGGGGTTTCAGTGTGTATCCCTTCAGTAAATACTGAATAGATGCCATAGTTAAAAGGTTAAGTATGGAAGGGTCGGGGGATGGAGTAATGAATATAAATCCTAAGCCCTGCCCCTAGAATTTAGTCTTTCGTAGTTTGTGATAAAGTGCCATAAAAGGCTATAGAGTCTTTCTTAAACATTCATATAGTTATAATGGCGCCATCCAGGTGAGTTAAATTGGTTGGGGAAAGCCTTATAGAGGAAATGATACTAATCTGGGCCTTGAAGGATTTGTGGGATTAAAAAGTGAAGGGGGACAGTACTGGTGGCAGGAGGAGCAGCTGTTATAAAGTCACAGAGGCGGAGCTGAACACAGTGAATGTGTTTGGAGACTAATGAAGTTACCTAAGGAGAGAGTTTATGGTGGGAATTAAAAGACGGTCAGTTTGGACAGGAGAGTAGGGGTCAAGTTAAGAGAAACCACAGAACATTGCTGAAGAGTGTAGCCACATAATTTTTAAGGAAAATTAAATGGTGGTATGTAAGATGGATTGTAATGGAAAGAGACTAAAAGTAAAGAGCCCAATTAGCAGGCTATTAAATTAGGCTGGTTAGTCATAAGGAGGAAAAAAATGAAGATGACGGTCTTAGAGGTGGAGCATTAACAATAGTTGGAGGATGGACAGGAAGGGTGTTTGCAAGTACCTGGTGAGGACAGAGGTGGTTAAGAGCATGGACCCTGGAGTCAGACTACCTGGATTGGAATCCTAGCTTTAGCCAAGTTAACCTCTGTTCCACAGTTTCCTCATCTATAAAATGGGGATAATAATATTTACTTCTTAGAGTTGTTTTAGTATTAATGAGTTAATACAAATGCAGTACTTACAATAGTGGTTGGCACATAATAAATGCTATGTGCTAGTTTTAAATATATTCTTAAGGATATCATTTGGCAATAGGACATTTAAGGTGTTCACAGATACATAGGATTGTACATAGGTATTTTTAGTCATGTGTGAGCTTTGGGAGGTTTGTGAACCCTATGAAATTATATGCTAGATTTTGTGTAAATGTATTCTTGCCTATTAGAAAGCTTCATAGCTTTCATTAGATTCTGAAAGGGGTGTGTGAACCAAAAAAAAAAGGTTAAGCCCTAATATAGACAGTTGAAAATATACAAAATTGATTTAGAGAGAGGCAGGTATGATATAAATGTAAAAATCATTTGCTTGGAGCTGGTAGTTTATAACTGAGATTTTTAACTTAATAAGATAAATATATTGAGAGAACTGAGAACCAAGCACTAAGCTTTGGGGGAATAACCATAATTAGGATAGATAATGAATTAAAAATACAGTCATTACATTTTAAGCAGAATCAAAAAAGTTCTGAGACATAGAGGCCAAGAGATTATTATTTCAAGGAGTGGGAATCCATCACTGTAGAAAGGTGAAGGGGGTTAATTAGACAAGATTACTGGAATTTACAAGATGGAGAGTACAGTTCGGGTTGGTGGAAAGAACCCATTATAGAGAACAGATGAAGAAGAAGACAGGCAGATTTCTACTCATCCGAGAAATTTGGCGGTGAAAATACATTAAATTGAATTGGGTTCTTTTATGAACTAAAATCATATAAAATACTGTGATTATATTTTTAATTATGGGTCATATGTGCTGATTTTTGCCTTTCTTTTAGGGTTTCAATCCACCTGTTCTTGTTTTTGTTCAGTCCATTGAAAGGGCTAAAGAACTTTTTCATGAGCTCATATATGAAGGTATTAATGTGGATGTTATTCATGCAGACAGAACACAAGAACAGGTAAAGTCAAATGTATACTCTCAAAATGATAAAGAACTAAATTTTAAAAATATTGGCATTAAACTTACAAAGTACTTGTTTCCCATTCCTAGAGTGATACTAAAACATTTAATGTATGTTCTGTTAACCAGAGAGATAACACAGTCCACAGCTTCCGAGCAGGAAAAATCTGGGTCCTTATTTGTACAGCCTTGCTAGCCAGAGGGATTGATTTTAAAGGTGTGAACTTGGTGATCAACTATGACTTTCCAACAAGCTCAGTGGAATATATCCACAGGATAGGTGAGTTGTCCCCACTCATCCATTTTACACCTCTGCCATTCTCTATGAACATGCTTGTTTTTTTAGTGCTGTGAAAAGTCCAGTGACTTTTATATGTGAATCTTTAAGGTCTCTTTCTCCCAAAGAAGTGTTTTTAATTTAATGGTCTGGTTTCTCTTAGGTCGCACTGGAAGAGCAGGGCATAAAGGAAAAGCTGTTACATTTTTCACTGAAGATGATAAACCATTATTAAGAAGGTAAATTAGGAAAAATAACTTAGAATTAAGTTGGCCACATTGGTTGATTATTCTTACACACAGTTAACAGATAATTACAAAATGGCTTTGTCCAAAATTCTGTTAGAGCAGTCAGCCAAATTCTAGCAATGAGGAAAGGAAAATTAAAAGGCCTTGTTTTTGCCTTTCCATTATTATTTGTTAATAACAAATATTCCAGAATTCTAATAACTCACAGAATTCTTCCAATAGCCACCAGTTGATACTACTCACAATGTAATAAGGTTTTTGAATGAGTGAATAGTTTAAAATTAACCCGAGTCTCTTTAGCCCTGTCAAAATTCTCTCTTACTGGAATGCATCCTTCCTATTACTCTTGGGGCAGATGGAGTTTTATATTTAGTCCCAGGAACTCCAGTATTATTTAATTGTAGCCCCTTGAGGCTTGGATAACATGTGATAGATATACTTTCAGAATCATGGGTTTTAATTTAGCTCATTATCATAGATAGTAGTATAGAAGCTGAGTTTCCTACATTTTGGCTACCTACAGAAAGTAATGATTAAAATTGAGTTATGGCTGAAAGCAGTTTGTATTTTGGCAAAGTTTATCTGTTTTGGCAAAGATTTTGATTAGTGCCTTCTGAGCCTTGGCTCTGTCAGCCTTGGTTTTGCTTTAAGCAGACTTTCACATGTGTATGTGTAGGGGGAGCATCCTAGATTCACCGTAAGTTTCCTCAGCAACTCTAAGCATGTGAATCTGATGACCCCCCCCCCATTATCAGTGTAACTGTGCACCTGAGTTTTCCATCTGGGAAATGGGGATTATGATAGTGCTTACTACAGAGGTTTGTTGTGAATATTGAATAAGTTACTGTACAGGAAAATCTTAAGACAATGCCAAACCCATAGTAAGCACTATCATTTAATAGATTTTTAAGCTTGACTGGGGCTTCAGTCAGTATCTCATCCAAAATTGATCTTAGTAGCTTTTTAGGGCTTGATAAAATAAATGTTGAGCAGAAATAGCTGCTATCTAAAATTATTCATCAATTGGTGATTTTAGTCCAGCAGACATTGTCAGTAATCCAATGTTATTACATCTGGTGATAACATATCTAAACACTTTTCTGGATTACTTTCTTGTTTGTATAGTTTTAGTTCCTCTTGTATTGTGCAGAGGGTTTAATTTCATAAACATCAGTTTGATAAGATACAAATTTATATTTATGGGTACCTTTTTCAGTGTTGCCAATGTTATACAGCAGGCCGGATGTCCTGTTCCAGAATACATAAAAGGTTTCCAGAAACTACTAAGGTACAATCTTGAATTTACCAACCTTCTCTTTTTCTCTTTCTTTACATATATACATTCTTGCTTTTACATTATTACACATAGTTCTAATACTGTTAGAACATTTTAAGGTAAAAAATTTTCCTTATAAATATATGTGAATACTGTATGTTTTTTAAACCTTGCTAGTTTTTTCATCCTTGAAATTTTAAATATTCAGATTTTTTAAAAACTTACTCAATGTGAGTGAAATATAGTTGGATTTTGTTTTAGTTTATAAAACTGGTAAAAAGTAGTTAATTGGCCAAAATCATACACTAATGCTTATTTATATTTTTTCAGAATATAAGGTTGCCAGGGGACATATTTTAATCATAATCACTGCCTTTTAAAAATTGAGTTTACCATCCCTTTGGGTTACCTCTGTAAATGCTATTATGTAATCTACTATATAAAGTGGATACAAGAGTAGATAAACCAGTGAGTAGATAAAAAATGAATTTTGTGACAAAAATTAAAACAAGTTTTAGCTTTAGTTTTTAAATTAAGTTTCACTTAATTTAATTCTTTCCTCTCTTTGTAACTTTCAGCAAACAAAAGAAAAAGATGATTAAGAAGCCGTTGCAAAGGGAGAGCATTAGTACAACTCCGAAATACTTCTTAGAAAAGGCTAAGGATAAACGGTAAGTACACAGTGAGAAAATTAACTGTTTGACTCCATTATATAGTTATAGTAGGCATTATTGTTCCTTAGGATAAGTTTTTGTTTTTTAAAATATGTTTTTATTGATTTTAGAGAGAGGAAGGCAGAGGGAGAGAGAGATAGAAACATCAATGAGAGACTCCCCCTACTGGGGATACAGCCTGAGACCCGGGCATGTGCCCTGACCTGGAATCAATCCGGTGACCTCTTGGTTCATGGGCTGATGCTCAGCCACTGGGCAACACCAGCTAGGCTAGGATAAGTTTTTTAGAAGTAAAATATGTTTACAGTCTGTTATAGAATGTAGTAAAAATAATATATCTTAGGTTGAGGGAATGATTTGGGAACTTAGATGATTCAATCTTGGGTCTGTTTTTTTCCACCTCTGAAAATATGATTTCAGTTCACTATGAATTAGAATTGTACTGCCCACCATCTCCACACAGCTTGCGTCAGGACATTCTCCTGAGGCCAATAGTTAGGACTCACGTTGATGGAGTCTTCCTTGAAGCTCCATATTCTGGGCAGGATTTCAGTATAATCTTAGACTTATGCCAAAGCATATTATAAAACTTCTAAAAAGTATGACTTGGTTAAATTTGTAGTTTAGCTGAGTTGAATGAGAGTTTTAAGTATAGATTTTTTAGCATACATACAGGCCTACTTTTTTTTGCCTAGTACTGCTAGGAAGCTACATGTTTTGGTCGAAGTAGGCTAATATATTTGGAACAGTACTTCTGTTTCCACTATTTATGGAAAATGACACTTCAAATTCTCCTAGTACCAGTTAATATATAATATATATGAAATGTAGGCATTTACTGAGTATCTATTGTCCTTCCAGGTACTTATGGTGGTTAGGTTATATAAATGACTATAAAATGAGACCTGTTTCCTGTAGTATGCAAGGAAAAAAATAGAGAATAATTTTTAAATACAATAGAAGTTTAGAAAAGGGAAAATCATTATGGATTAGTAAAGCCCCAGAAAGTTTCAAGGAGTAGGACAGTCTTTAAAGATAAATAAAATTACAGCATGTGGAAGGAACAAAGTGAACAAAGACAGGAACACCGGCATGCACTTCCTTTCCAAGTGTAACAAGACCCTTACCTGACATTTCGTATTGACGGTGGGAGCTAACATTCAGTTCAAGCATAAAGGGAGTGCAGCATGTCCCAGAGTTTCAATGAGTTTTAAGCTTTAATAACTTGGGAAGAATAATCCTTGAAAGAGTAATCCTCAATTTTGTTTGTACTTAGTTTTGTCAGTTCTTAATAGGTTTTTATTTTGACTTTTTGTGGCAGCAAAAAACCTGTATAACCAATGTTTATTAAATTGGTAGGCTTTTGGAAAGTACATACCGCTAGAATTTCTGATTCAGCTGTTTTTACTTTCTTTATCACAGGAAAAAGGTCACTGTTCAGAACAGCAAGAAGAAAGTAGCTCTTGAAGACAAAAATTAAAGATTTTTTTAAAAGACTGTATCAAAAACATCATTTTGTGATCTCAACATGAATGTTTACATGGAATACATCTTAAAATCATCTGTCCTGACATTTGAAATCAACTACAGGAACATGGGATGGGTGAAAAATGATCATAAACTTTCAGTGCATTGTGTCAGGTTTCAATATGTAGGTGACTTTTAAGTGATTACATAATGAAAATAACATTCATTGACACTTCTGTGGTTTGGATCCAGAGAGATACTTCTTATAGAAGAACAAAAGCTTATGCTAAAAATAACAATACCCAAATGGGGTGAACTCTTAAGTTTCCCTTCAAGTGTGAAGGAAGGTGTGATGTATGTTGTGGAGAAACATGTGGAACCAAATATTCAAAGTAAAGCCTTGAGATTGAATGTCCCTACCCCTACCCCATCTGTTTTTGGTTTTTAAATAGACAAAGGCTATCTACCAAGAAGAAACCTACTGCTCTTTATTTTACTGTTTAATTTCTTGATGGCCTCTTGTGTTGTAAGCCACAACAAAAAGAATCCTCTTCTGTGGCTGGTTTTTCGAGCTCTCCAGTAATTTTAAATTCTTTGGTCTATTAAATATCCTCATACTTCATTGATAAGGTAGCTCATACTTCACCTGTTATAACGTTGCAACTACAAACGTCAGTCTCTCCCTTTTTTAAAAATAATTATTTTTTTATTGAATTTATTGGAGTGACATTGGTTAATAAAATTATACAGGTTTCAGAGATACAGTTTTATAATACATCAACTGAATATTGTATTGTGTTCACCACCCCAAGCCAAGTTTCCTTCCATTACCATTCATCACCCCTTTCCTGTCTCCTACCTCCCTTCACCCTCATTTTTCCCTTTGGTAATCACCATACTGCTGTCCAGCCTCTCCCTTTCTTACTTCATTTTTCATCACTTAACCATGCTCTTTCCTGTCTCTTTCCATTCAAGATGCCTTGGCTCGAAAACTGATAGTTTTATCCTGATAAGGAAGCAAGTTCCTGTTACTTGATATACCTCTGGCAGCATTCTCTTACGGCTTATCTTTCCTGAGGCTTTATAACCCTTCATCCATTTAGTAAGCAGGTCTCAGCTGAAGGTAAAGGATTATGATTATAGTGATGGAGACTATTCACCATTAGCAGATTTTTCTCTGTTGATAGTTTTGTACAGTGGAATAAAAAATCAACTTCAGTCCTCTGGGTTCCGACCTAGTTTGCAGCGACATGGCTAAACGCACCAAGAAAGTTGGAATCATCAGTAAATACAGAACCCATTATAGTGCCTCCCTCAGGAAAATGGTGATGAAAATTGAAATCGACCAGCAGGCCAAGTACACTTGCTCCTTCTATGGCAAAACCAAGATGAAGAGATGAGCTGTGGGATCTGGCACTGTGGTTCCTGCTTGAAAACTAGCTGGTGGTGCCTGGACCTACAGCACCACTTATGCTGTCAGTCAAGCCTGCCATCAGAAGACTGAAGGGATTGAAAGACCAGTAGAAGTTCCACAATTTGAAACACTGCTAGCCTCTAGTAACAACAAAAAAATCAACTTTATATATGTAAGATACTTAGAATGAATGTTGTTATCAACACTATAATACTATACGATAATGTTTTTCTCAGCAGCATTTGAATTAAACATTTATTTCCTTTATTCTTAGCCTTTTACTCTAGAGTCAGGACAGGTAGGCCCCCAACTGGAATATTTTAGATGGGACAAAAATTGTTCATCTTCAGAATTATTGTAAATGGAGCTCTGTTACTACAAGGTGCAAAAAATACAAGTATGTGATTTTTGTTGTTCTAACAGATCTTTGACCCTGTTCTGAAGGTAGGTATACTGCTGCCACCCATTTGCCAGCTGTATGACTTTGAATAAGTTCTTCAGTTTCTGAGCTTTGGTTTTTTTCATTTATGGAACTGGGGGTAATGTCAACTATGTCTCAACATTAGAAGTACCTAGCACTATACCAAACTTCATAAATTCACAACAAATATTTCTTAAACATTATATTTGGTTCACAATACAAGGCCTGATAACAGCCCCTGCCCTTCCAGTGTAGTGGTTAGGGATAGAGTAAAGGAATAAATGGTGTGGCATATGCTATGTTAGACATAAGGCCATGATGCTGAAGCCTCACAGGAGGGCATCTAACTCACACTGGAAATGTCATGGAAGGCTGACATCCTGAGCTGAGTCTTGCAGATGTAAGAGTCGATAGGCAAATGACAACGAAGTATTCAGGCAGATACTGCATATTCTGTGATCCTTGATATACTTTTATTTGACTTCTTTTTTAGTATTTTCTCCTATGTAACCACTCATCCTTAAATAAAAATGGTTACATAAACCTGTAATCACCTTGGTTTGTCAGTGGACTAACTGAATTTAACACCTTTCTATCAGTTGTAAGTAATCTGCTAACCAAATCAGTTTCACCTAAAGAAGGGGAGGAAAGAAATTAGTAGACAATTATAAAGAAAACGCATAATTGAATAGTTGGCTCTAGTGAAATGAGCAAGGACTTACAAGTCAAACACCAGGTTTTGTTTGAGTCCTGGTCCTGCTGCTTTGCAGTTGTATGACCTAAGCAAATTGCAGCTTCTTTTAACCTTGGTTTTCTCATCTGTAAAATGCCAATACTGACTCTTAGGGACACAGTATTTGAAAAATAGTCAAGTTCCTGACCAGTGATTTGTGCCCAATGAAAGATAACATTACAAATTATGCTCTTGTAAAAGCCTTGAGGCAAGAGTGAAAGATAAAGCTAATTATAATTAATCCATTGCTTGCTAGAAAGCAAACTACTTGAGGGCTTGAAAAAGTTTACATTTTACTCTTATATTTCACTTAGAGTAGTTTGATTTGGAAAAATCACGGTAAAAATATGGTCAGAGAGATTCATAGTAGTTACGAACTGCTTTCCAAACACCAGTTTTGCCCCTGCTTGCAAGTACGGACATACCTCGTTTTATTGTGCTTCGCTTCATTGCCCTCACCGTTATTGCGGTTTTTTATTATCTATACATATTGAAGGCAACACCCTTCACCAACAAAAAGGTTACGGCTCACTTTATTGCTATACTCTTTATTGCGGTGGTCTGGAACCAACCGCAGTATCTCCGAGGCATACATACCTGTGTAGGAAAGATGGATTACTGGGTGGCACGACTGCAGAACCAAACGCAAGAGTTGTGCGCCCTGGAGGTTTTATATGTGGATTGGGGTTTATTGTTTTACTAAAATTTTAAATACCTTCAGCTTTGGGGGTGGTTACCAAAAGAAAGCTGCCGAGTTCCAGGGGAAAGTGGAGAGCGCTGCATCCATCTATTCTTTATGTGCAAAGAGTAACAATAAAAGAACACCCATGTACCCACCATCCGGTTTAAAAAACAGGACTCAGTCTGCTCTTTCCACTGACCAAGATTATGATTTTTCAAACTGAGGAACAACGGCGCCCTTGCAGCTCTGCCGCCAGCTGGACTGTCCAAACCACCTCTCCAAAGGCGGAACCAGTTCCCCGGCGGCCGAGCGCGAGACCGCCCCTCTCAGCGGCAGAACCGCAATTGCACCTGGAGGCCTCCCAGAGACGGCCGGGTCACGTGACGAGAACGTACCGCCTCCCCGCCTGCTCCGGGGTCACGTGCGCGTACGGCCCCGCCCCGTCGCTCAGTCTGCGGCGAGGTGGGGTCCAGCTTTTGCCCCGGAAGTGGCTGTCTTCAGCTGACAGCTGCCTGTAAGGTGGCGGCGGCGGCGGCGGCGGCAGCGGCGGCGGCAGA